TCAATAAAAACATTTTAAGAGAATATTAACAAATACACACACACATACATAAATGTGTTTTCCTATATCTATCCCATTTATATTAAATTAAGGGTAAAGTGTAAACCTGAAACATCTTTGATATCTTCTCACAAACCACCTAGAAAATGGAACATACAATGATCTCAGAGATGACATAGGAAACACAAAGTTCTCTCAGTCAGAGGCCAGTGTTCTGGTCCTGACTTTGTTACAAGAGAATCCCAACAATTAAGTATCCTAATTCAAGTTCGTACTACTAAGTAAAAACATATTAGAGCATATTCCTCCTGTATCTGTGTGTGTGTATGTGCGTGCGTGTGTTTATATGTGTAAAAGAGAGATAGAGAACAAGAGAGAGCAAGAGAACGCACATGCTCTTTTTAAAGATAGTTCTCTTTTTCATATTGGGATTTCTCATGGGATATAGTGTTTCTGATTTTAAAATATAATTTACTCAGCAAGATCCCTCTTCTAATCGTAGAACCAAATTAATTCATGCACCTATACTTTCATATTGTAAGTGGGTTAACTGTATCATTTAGAAAACAAATCCTGTTATTAACTGTACTTTTTTCTACCCATTTGTGGTCAGAGGTACAAGTTTTCAGCATATAATAATAGACTTATGTTTCCGAAAAATCATCACTATATTTTCAAGGAAACTACTTTTCAAATGTATTTCTAAATACTGAAAGCTACTGGATATCTAACACATTTAATCTTTCCCAAATTTAATTCAAAGCTAAATAATTTTGAAAACCACAGCAATCACCAACATGGAAGCATTTTTACTTGAAAAATTTGTATAATTTGGGCATGGAAACCAATTGTTTTAAATTTAATAAAGCATTTTCTTCTCAGGCTCAAACACTAGGAGCAACCTAGAATAGAACTTAACATGTGAATTATAAACTTGTGAAAACAGAGACTTATAGTCAAGATATTCAGGGTTTTTCTTCACAGCATATTCCCTAATGATTTAGCCATTGTATTTCTAAATGTCCCAAGAGACTACTTTCTGAACTTGCTCTCTTCGTCAACCCAACACCTCAAAGTACGAGGATAATTTTCTCAAGTCTTAGCTTAAATTTTTCCTTGGAAATTTTACTTGCTCTGACAACCCTTCCTATGAGCCTGAATTTCATCTAATACTGACTGCCTGGATAATCCAAACTTCAGGGGCCATTTGTAAGCTGCTGCTGAAGCCTCTTTCAGCTTCCAGCTTCTAGTAGATACATGGGCTTTTTGTCTGTACGGCCCTGTGCCAGCCCCTTTCATCCTGTGCAATCTTCAAAATCTAGCCATGGTTTGGACAAGAGAAAGCTCACAGTCCCAACTATTCTCTGGCCCTCTCAAAAGGACAGGAGGAGTCATTCCCCTTCTCTGTAGAGTCAATCTCAGTCTAACAGCATGGACTTGGGAGACACAAAAACCCAGGTCCAATTCCCAGCTCTGCCACTTTCTCACCAGGAGACTTGGAGGAAGGCACTTCCCCTTCCTGAGGCTGTCTCCTCACCTGTAAAATGGGGGTGATAATATGTACTAGGGCTGTGGCTAAGATGTACGTACTTTGATAAGTATGCTGAGCAAATGGTAGGGTGTGGCACATAGGAAGTTCAAATCAGTGGCTGTGTTGTTCTGTGAATTACTATTCTCCCCTGTGCTATATGGTGTTTGAAGGGCTGTCCAACATGCTTACTAAATGTTCTCTTTTGAGCATAGAAATTAGCTTTGCAGTATGCCAGAATATATAATTATCAATTTCATGGAATCCCAGCACCAGAAGACACCTTGGAGTCTATTTAATCTGAGTCTTGATCTTACAGCCCTGAAGCTCTGGTGAGGACCAGACTTCCAAGTGGGTCCCTGAAGGGCCACACTCCCTGGGACTCAGGTCTGAGGGCCCCGGAGCTTTCCTGGATGCTTTCTCTGTGAGAATGTTCACTGCAAAACTGCAAACCCAACCTTCACACCCTCCTAGCTTGTTAGAGCCGATGTCTGCCTTGAATTCCAAATTCTCCCCTAGAACAGACCACAACGGGAGGCAGAAGTCAGGGGACCACAGAGAAGTTCTGTGCAAACAAAACTCCCCAAGAATGAGCAGCATTCCTCTGATGTCATTTCCACCCACACAGCACTTCCTTCCCGTAGCAGGTGGCACTTGGTGTAGTGCGATAGCCCAGATCCTGCAGGTGGCTACTGCTGGGACCCAGCCTTTACCAAGAATCAAAGCCTTCTGACTGCCCAGTTCCCACCTCACACCCTTAAAAGTATGGCTGCCATTTACCCACAGGCTAGGTGGGTTCCAAGCATTTTGAATTGCAGCTACTCCCCATCAATGTTTTTTGGGGGTAGCACTTGGAATTTTAGATCAGGATGGGATTTAGTAAGGGGCATACTTAATAATGTTTACAAACAAATCTGTAAAAAATAGGAAGGAGGGCTTTCAGAAAATGGCAGGTATATTAAATTGAAAGTCTGATGTTTATTTGCTAACAGGAGCTGGTGATCTACACCACAAGCTGTCTTTGGCCTTGGAATCAACTGAATAACATTAACAATTTCTGTGTGAATGTGCAGCTGCACTTTCCAGGTTCCAGAATTAGTACCTGAGTCTGTGTAATTATTTCCCTTACAGTCAGTTGTGAATATCATCCTACACTTCTTTTTTAAGGAGCAGCTTTCAGGGCTTAAACACTCAAAACTTAACATACACCTACCACGAGGACACTAGCTTTTGCTTAGATGTTAAGCAAATCAAATAAAGTACAATTACATTTAAGATCATATAACAGAAGATCCAGGAGGGGAAAACAAGCATATTTAAAGAAAAGATGCATACTAGTACTCTAAACAAAAGAGACTATCATCATGTGTAAGATATTTTTTGTTCAAAAATATCAAGAATGAGACATCAAATCTGCAAATTAATTGAAAACGTCTCAAAGGACACATATCTGCAAGTTTTGGAAAGAAACCCATCAGTTGTTTACCTAGGCAGAAGGTGCAAAAACCTAGGAATGAGTTTGCTGTTTTAGAGAAGACTTAGCACTTGAGAAATGCTTGGATAAATTCTAGACCAAGGGTATAAAATTTCAGTTACAATATACAGTTTATCAGAGACGCACACACTTAAAATCATCTTAGAAAGAGGAGAAACTGGGCGGGGGGGCGGGGGGGGCGAGGACAAAACACAAAAACTCCAGAAGCAAGAATCTACAGGAATTCCTCAGCAACCACTTCCTGATTTAACTAATCTCTCTGGCTGGCCACAAATCCTTCCCTAGACCCAACTTAAGTATTCACCTTAGAGGAAACCTTTTCAGTCTTCATTATCCTCATCAGAAACCAAGCAGAGTTGACTGCTCTTCTCTGCATAATAAGTCCATTCACATATTTTCAAATATTAAATCATGCTGGCCTTGAATCCTCCACTCTAAATATACTCATTTCTTTATCATGTCTTCCTACCATGTGCACTACATAATAAACTCACCAGTGCTGGTCTGCACTCTGAACTCTGTCTCCACCTCCTCCCTGGGCGCAGAGCTCCGCTAGGAGTGGAAGCTTCTATTGCACCAAGCAAAGGTGAAATGCTACAATATTATTAACCACAATAAAAGCTGAATCAAGAATTCAACATGTTTAAGTGCCTTTTTAAAACTTAACCGTAAAATTCAAGGCACCTATTATTTTAGGCTTTTCTCCATTTTGATCACAGCATCCATATACCATAGTCAACTGTATTTCTAATGCATTAGTAGGAAATGCAAACCTTCAAGTGTAAACATTTTTGTTTCTGGTCATAGAAAATAGGGAAAGGAGAATGGGTAAAAAGAGGTTCAAGGTCACATATTCTTTTTCCTTTAAAAGATGTGTTAACCCTAAGTTCACAACAGGATGACACACAGCATTTTAATTTATTGAAATTCTTCACTAGTCAAATTTTATTTCAAAATGGCAAAATAAGTTGGCTAAATTTTCAAAAAATTTTAAGTATCAAGTAACTCGCACGAGGCTTTTTAAACCTGCAGAAAGTACTTAACACAGCAAGCATGTGAGTCCAGCAACGCTGCCCTGGCCAGCAGAGTCCACGAGCTGAGGCCCCGCGTGCTCCTTTCCAGGTTAGAATGTCAACCGCTCGGAAAACAAAGATTTCGACCAAATATAGTTTGCACTCGCCCAGTTTTGGGTATTACTAGGAAAATAAACTCACAAAAATCCAGCCAGGCACCGACTTTTCTCCCACAGTGTTTCTAGGAATGCAAAACAGCTTTGGGACTTCAGTTGACCAAATGGACAGGGTTCGTGAAGACACCTGGGAGGCGATCACAAGCCTCCCCGGATTCCTGGAAAGCAAGGCTTCTCCAAGCAGAGCTGCTGGCTCTGGAAGGCAGCGCTTGCTGGAGCCACGACTCTAACTTCACTCGGTTCCCAGGCTCTGTCAAATCGGAACGCGGTGGAGGTTCCATTTCGTACCCAAAGAAAGCATTGACCACCCTCTCTCTACACGGAGCAAAAGTACAATTCAATGGCAGGGTTCTCCGTGCATACAAAAAAATGAGCACTATATCTGCAAGGTTCCTTCTGTCCCTAAACACTTAAAGCTAACAGAAAACTAGAATCAGTAGAACGCACTTTAAGCTTTAAGAAGTGCAGTTTCGCAAGGGGGTAGGGTCTAGTAAGACAATTAAAAACCTAGATTCCTTTCCAGAGCCAAAATAAAATAAAAGATCACCATGACTGAGCCACAGGGGCATAACTACCCCTTCCCAAAGCGCAAGCCCTCCATTTCGCTCACCCTCTCAAGAATTCCGTTTCTCCCCCCAAATTACCCTCAACGTCGCCCCCTCCTCCCTCCCCAAACAAAAAGGTCAGGCTCCTCATCGCCCAGACTGACTGCGTACAGAGCCGCGCACTGGCTGTGGCGACATCGAGGAGACGTCCGCCCATAGCGCGACCCCTGCGCGCTCCCTCACCAGCCTTCTCCGGACACAGCGGTGCTACGCGCTCCCCGGCG